AGCGCTCCTCGGCGTCTCAAAAACTCGAGGTCGCACCTCTTCGAGAAGTGAATCGCGCTTGATATATCTTTTGATGCCGGCAGTGGGAGAGGAAAAAAAGGAAAAGACGGGAACGAGGAACCGCGTATTGAATCGCGGAAAACGAGCACTGAAGAAGGTAGAGACGCGGTCGGCCGTCCGGAGAAACAATTTTCGCGATGAGTGACGGCACGGGGGGAATCTCCCAGCGAAACGTGCCTACCATTCGCGAGGCGATGTCAACGACGGCAACAATGATCGCGCGAATGGTTCTCGAAGCACTAGAAAAACATAAAATCACGCTAATTTAACTTTAAAAGACAGGATAATTATAAAAAAGAGCTGGTTGATCTAATCGCGGTTTTAGGAAGGGAAAGAAATGGTTCTGGTGTTAAAAGACGCGCGTGTCGCGCGAGACTCGCTCCTTGAATACGCGCGATGAGCCGGAAAAACGCTCCAAGTAGGACTGTAATCATCTGCAATCCCTGGAGACGCAGCGGCTCTTCTCGCCTTTTTACGAGCGCGGAATATTATTAATAACTTCGTAATGCAGCGCGAGTATAGACGCGCGCGAACGCTAATGATCGCTTTGAGCAATCCTTTCGCCGTTTGCATCATTGAAACGTGTACCTTTTTATGCCGGACCGGATGCTCCATTACGGGCGATACGGAGACGCTTAGAGAGACGGTCTTCACGAAGGAAGAGGGGGGCGTCGCGCGTTACTCCTCTGAAGGTTGCCTTGTCGCTCGTTTTCGCGAAAGTAGCGTTTCGTCGCGCGAAAGAAACGGGGTCTTTCTCGGAAACAATTTCCCGCGACTCCGCGTGGCTGCTCCGCAAAAATATGAAGAAAACGCGACTTCGCGCGCCTGCGTGCACGGAGTATATTTATAACTATATGTCTGTGTGTCTGTGTGTCTGTGTATTCGCTCTCTGGTTTCAGATATGATTAAAAATGAAGTGGCAGTGCGGCAAGGAAATAGATACGTTCCATTACCGTAATCCCGGAAACAGTAGAATGTTGTTGCCGCGGATTACGTTCAACGGCAAATGTTCCGGCATTATCGCGGCTATTTTCATCCGGCTGCTTCAAGGTCAATTGGACTGTTAAGCGAAACGGCGTTAACATTAGTCGTAACGGTCGTCCTGTATCTCTTTTACCTCCTCCAACTGGGAGAAAAGTCCGCTCTCGTCTTGCCGCGCTCGGATATTTCCGCTACTCGAGATTACTCGAGTTATCCAAATCTAAGCGTAACAGTCGCGGCTTGATTGACCCGGCCGACTTGACCATAGATTTTTCCGGCAAAGTTCGCTAGTCAGCTGATAACTATGTATACTGAAGAAACACCATTATGCACGCATTACACGTAGCAGCCGGGTGGAATAGCCGTAGAAGAACTTAGTTTCTGCCTATCCAAATATTTGCGCATTTCCGTTCCGAGGATCATCCCGACGTGATAAAGAATATCCGTTAAAACTTATCGCGGCATTGCAATCTCGCGATATTTACGTTAACAGTGTGCTGCCCGAAAAACCACCGCGTATGCGCACTCAGACACACACACACACACACATGTACAGGAAACTTATCAATTATGAATAGGTGTGTTTTATTTGAAGCATCTATAATTTCCACGCTTCGCCGTATTTTCGTCAGCATCTCGTAAATAAATAGCACGAGTAATAAGTCGTTCCGTCGTGTTGCCGGCGCGCCGGGAGGAAAATATCACCAAATTAACCATAATTCGCGGCGCGTTTTCGCCCGCGCGGTCGATAATTTGCGGTTGATAAAATTCAGACGGGGCTCCGGATAAATTCGCTGATAATCTATACCTATCAAGCGCGAGCGCGATAAAGTATCAAGCAGCCGTGTTAAGCCGTGTTAGAAAAAAGGGCGGAATTACGGGCGGGATAAATCGGAGATTACTTGCGCGGCGTGTAATTCACGTCCGCGAGTTTTATATCAACGACTCGCGATCTCGCGATCTCGAGCGAGCACGCGTGTCTGTGAATGAAAGGTCGTTGCCGCGATCGGCTCGTCGCTAATGTATGCACTTCCGGCGACGAGTTAATCCCTCATGGATCGGATCGCGAATATGCGGCCCATTAAATGTCAAGCGGTTCGAACACGAGCGGATGAAAATTGATTTCCAGCCGTCAAAGAAAGCGGTCGGCGCTCGAGAATGTCGTACGAGAGTCGTTCGAGAGCGCGACGGCAGTCATTCGGACACCGCCGGTGGATGTGACGGTGTCGTCCCGGCGATAAATTATTTTTCAGAAATTCCCTCCGCGCGCGCGCGCCTTGGGTCAACGGCAATGCCAGATTTCCAAGTCGGATTTTACATTTCCCGCTCCTCTTCCCTTTGCCGTGGCGAGCGTCTTCCTTGTTTCCTCTTTTTCCTTATTGCGCTCGTCATGCCCGGCGACTGTGATCTCCCGCCGATTTATCGGTTGCCGATGCCCTCCCACCGATAATCGGAACGACTCGAAATCGATTGCGGTACGCTCGGAACACTTGCGGAATATTCATTTGAGGATATCGCTTCGCCGTTCTCGCACATCGTTACAAAGATCACCGGTAATTGCCCCGGCTTGCTTTTCCGGCCGACGTCGGCGATTAAACGTCGCTAATACGAGGAGGAGCCGTCGCAACGCGAACTTACCGTTCCCTCCGCGACGTACGTACACTGCCTTTGTAGCGACGGCAATTTATGCAAATCGGATACGATTGCCGGTTCTGCGGAGACAGGCGGAACGCTCGCGATTTGTTATTAACTAAGCCCGCGCGACGCACTCGACTCGGAATATAAATCGCTCCTTTCCGCATTTGGTTTTTTATTTCCGCTACAAGCGCGCGCGTGGTCGAGTGCGCGCTCGCTCGTATTGCATTTTGCATAAAAAGCGCGGGGCGAGGCTCGCGATGCGTGTGTGCCGTTAATGTCTCAATTAAGAGAGATAACGACGGACGTCCTCCGTTCAAGTGGCAATCCAATTATCCCCGTGGCGATTTTTATCACCCATTTCGGCGGCCGAGGAACCACGTGGTTTTTGCCTCCTCTCTCTCTTTCTATATATATATATATATGTGTGTGTATTCCTTCTTGCTTTCTTTTTCGCTCTTTCGCGCGTCGACGTTCTCCGCATGGTCCGACTTTTGAAGAATCGCGACGCAATTTGGACAGGCTCCGGTTTCGGAGCGACAGTAACCGCAAGTGGCAAAGTGGCCCCTGCACACTTTATAATTGGCGTCGCGCTCGTCGTGGCAGGTCGCGCGAAATCCGCGACGCGAGTTTCGGAACAGCCGTCGCTGCGGGCGAAATAAATGAATGCGAAAATATCGACGTGCGTATTTTCGGCTCACCGTGAACTTCTCAATGATGCTCGGCGGTCGAAAATCGAAGCTTTCATTAAAAACTTACGGAAACTAGCCGGTCTCTCCCGTGTACTCGCGCGGGCGCAATTAATTTGTTTCTTGCCGCAATGCGAGCGATATTATGGGAACTGCGCGAACCGGATCCGGTCCGCAATTGCGAGACGCGGATTAATAAAAAGCGCCCGCGGATCTGCCTCTCTCATATCGACGAGCTGATAGCCGCATTTGATTTGCATTAATCATTGCGAAGTAATATACGTTTCCGGCCGCAAATTAAGTATATCGGGTTCTTGCTATTCGTGGCTGGATTGTTGATTTTTATCAAATATATCGACACGAAAGCTTCAATCTTTCTCTCTCTCTCTCTCTCTCTCTTTCTCTTTTAACGGTTTATCGTAATATTTCGGAATATCTCTCTTGCCCCCACCTCCCTTTTCTCAATGGCCACGATCGATGTAATTTAAAATTTCCAAGCCCATTACACGAATCCGAGGAGAGGCTTTGCATCTTTAAGGACTGCTCGAGGATGCGACATTTTCGACGCACGCTCGTGCAGAAATTGATTTCCTTTGGTGATAAGAGCGAACATCATTTCGAGATGAATGTCGATTAAAATCACGTATCGGGAAGAAATTAATTTTCAAGGGAATGTCAAGTCCACGTCAGTGAACATCCGTTCCACACACAAGCGTGCGAAATCAGAAATATTTTTATTCAAACGGAAACAGCGTTACTAAGTTTCATCCAAATAAAATTAGCGAACGCGAAATGGTGATTCCGGAGGGCTTTAACACGAGTCGAGTATGCAAATGCCTCGACACACAATCGCCTCAAAGGTAACTTTCTCTCATTGCATGGGCAAACCTCGGTGCAACCGAGCGGAATTAAAATTCGCGAAGCCGCAGCAACGTTAATCCCGAAGGACCGCTCTGAAATTCTTCACATCGTCACGAAAAGTACCCACCTCGCCGAACGGCAGATCAAACATCATCGCAACTGATCCGGATGAAAATTTGCGATCCCGCGTCTCGTCCCAAAGTTTCCGCGCACTTTATGGACCGCTCAAAGACCGGGGGAAATCTCTATGCACGGTTGCATTGAGACCAACTTTCTCTCTTTATAAGAGTAAACTGTAGTCACTGCAACTGCACCCGGATTAAAATTCAGAAGTCGGCGGTGTGAATCAAAAACTTAAGCGAAACTGGCGCCCAGGGGCGTGAAATTCTCTCTGCATTCTCGTATCAGAATGTAAAAAAACAAACACAAGACCCCGGGCGAATTAAGTTTTCCACGCCGGCGATATGTTCCGAGAGGAGATTTGCTCGACGCGCGAAACCCTTCGCTCCGCGTTACAATTAAAACCGTAAAAGCGGAAAGTCGTGCGGCGCCGTGTTAGAAAACTTAACGTAAATAACAATAACTTGAACAGCACCTAGCTCTTCCGGGTTTTCCGCGCCACAATTGCGAAAGCTCGGTGTGTTAATTCCCGTAAAAGTCCCGCGAGTTCGCGCGAGAACGCGAAGAGATATCCGGAATTAATTAATCTCTGCCTTGTCTACGACGCACCGTTGATTCTCACCGCGATCGGTTTGAGTGAAAAGATTCGCAAACCTGCAGCAGTAATCCTGGAGGGCTTTCACACATCTCGGGCTCGATTCAACGACGACGACGTCGCGGTGACACGCTCGACGGTCGACGGTAAGGCCGACATCGCCCGTCCCTTTTATTTCTTTCACCCTTTCTGCGAGGCGACGCACGTGATTCGGCGGATCGGACGCGAGTTACAGACACGACCGTACGGACTGAGGGACGCCGGTAAACTGATCGGGAACCTGATGGTCCTCCGCCGCGGAGGAGACCTCCGGGTGCAGGACGAGGCGCGCAAGCTCGCCGCTCGAGCGCGAGCGCGAACGGGAGGCCGCGAGAAAGCGGTAGCTTTGGGGTAAGCGAGAGGGAGAACCCGGAGGAGGCACGGCCGAGAGTCTGATTTAATCGCAAAGGCGGCAGGACACACCACCGCGCGGCTGCCGCTTCAAAGGATAAAAAGCTCTGGTAATTTGCACCGGCCCGCAAACCGGGACGAACGAAGGAGGCAATCCGCGTTCCCTCCGCGAGATAGGTGGGGAAGCTCACGTCGATGACAGCCGGAAACGTTTGCATGAGTATCGATGTACGCGGGATTGGCAAGCAATCGATAGCATAAATCGGTAATATGGATGTCCGGAGCAAATCTCTCTCGTTTTATATATCTTAAACGCAGTGAATGCAGGCTCGGACATTTGCTCGTCGTGAGATCAATTCTCGAACGTGTTATTCGATTTAAGGTAGTAGTAGCGTAAAATGAATTTTTTATAAGTTTTTAGTTTCGTTGAAACTATATATAAAACTATATATATATAAATTTAAATATGACCTAATTATTGGCGTAATTAGAAAGCGATTGACTATTCGAAAGCTGAGATATTCGCAATTGAAAATGACACTTTTTATACGCGTTCCTTGAGATTAATGTCTTATTTTTAACTTTTATTTTTAATTTTAATAAGTATTATTTTGTTTTGAAAATATAGCGGTATAAAGTTCATAACTTGTAGTAATAAGTTTTAACGGCAAAATACTCGAAATACATATACATATGCACATATTTAAACATTCATGTGCCTCTTTCTATTATCTGTGCATCTTTATTAGATCAACTGCAATGCATGAAAATAGCATTAGTAATATTATGTATATAGATTTCTATGTAAAGGTTAAATATTGACGTTCGGTATCAGTCGAGTGCGATTGATTATTGCTAAAATCGGCATTAATATCACGATCAAAGTGTTAATATCGTCATAACTTTGCACCAAAAAGGGAGTGCCAACACTTTTATAGAATTATCGCGATATCATTAGCATTCCAAGTCTTGGCTCGTTTTGGATCAGAATGCATTATCGACTATGCCCTTGGCCGTTCGTGCCACGTCGCTGTTATCGAGATCTTTTGGGCTTTCGAAAATATTTGTACGTCGTTTTGCTAGTCGATGAACGCGGCTTTTATTCGAAAGCAAAGACGCGGCATTGACAATTCCTTAAGGAGACTTTTTAATTTAAGTCCGATTGCTATCACCGTTTTCGTCGGATTTGTTGGAAAATGAACAATAGGGATGAATTCCACAATGAATGCAGCAAAGAAATATACTGAATATATTTTTTTAAATAATTCGTCATCAGACCTAATCAGCGCATGTATAAGACATTTTTTTGCAGATAATTAAAGAACGTTAAGAAAGGACATCGTTTTTGGGTACCGTCTCTCTTAGAATGTCTCTCAAAAATGTCTTTTCAATATACACGTCTATTTATATAGCGATTTAATGCAGAATTTACTGATTTAGGGATCTGTTGTTTAAAAATTAGAAGACAGCAAACTTTTCCAGTTAAAGAGTCAGTAAGGACGAAAAGTTTGAAAAACTCTCGCCGCGGGCTGTGACAATTGAGGAATTACTTCAATGCGCTGTTTTGCTTCTCGATGTCCTCGCAAGGAATGATTTAACTTTATCCTTCAGCAGGAAAGTTTCTTTCCCGAAGTAACTTATTTACAACTTGTGTATATATATATATATACACACATTTTATAACTTACATTTTTAGGTATTATTACATTATTAAGGATATGCGTACATCATCCCTTCGCGTTAAGGTTGCAAAAACATCACTGTCTTTTGGTATGTTGGAAGCTCCATTATAATTTTAGCAACGGGTGCAAATTTTGATGAAGAATTGACGAATTTCAAATAGATGCAGCTGAAATTTGATGAGAAGTCGTCACACCTTGCAACTCGCATTTTGAATTAAATATCGAAACGGTTAAATGCTTCAAATTGTAAACTTCTATAAAGGCAGATTCCGCGATTGAATGATCAAATTATATCGTATTAAATTGGCACTTAGAACAAATAGATCCTTTATTAGGATGATTATCGAATTGAAAGACCGCAATCTTCAAAACGTTTAACCAATTCAACGTTTAACTAATTCAACGTTTAACCAATTCAATCATAATATGAAACGTCGTCGCGCACGTTTTTCACTTTGAAGGCATTTATTTAATTTTGAAATCTAATCAAAGTGACACCGTCGACGCGAGCGCGTTTGCCATTTATCCAATCGATAACGACGGCCCGCAGCCGATCTAAGAAATAAACTGGATTGTGAAGCACAAAAGTAGATGCGGAGCGCTACGAAGGTCTTCCAGTACGATAATTGAATCGACCTTTATCACTGTGATGCTGAGAGCATTGTTCTCCGGTATCTTCTATTGGATAGCGAGATTTGGTGCGTTTCCATGATTACCGTGACAGTAGGGTGAAGGTATCAAAGGCCTCCCTCGTTCGAGAATGCGATGACAACGGTGTTACATTTCCTCTCTGAGTATCATAGACACGCGTTCGTGATACTCGTTGAATTTATGACTGCTTTACGACGAGCTTCATAGAGCAAGTCGACTCCGACAGGAAGTCACTGTTTACTGAATTTCACTCTGAATCGTCGCATGTCGATGCACGAGAGGCAGCGGGTATTTTGAGAAGCACGTAAAAATATTCAATGAGTATCGTTATTGCTACATGAGGAATATTACCGCGCAAAAATGTCGAGTACACGCCGTCTCGTGTAACACATCGAAGGAAAGTCGGTAGACACGAGACACGCCGTGTACGTGGGTGCAAAAAGCAAGAACCACCTGGTGCGCGAACGCAAAGAAAAATATAGTTAAAAATTATGTAATTTCGCGAGAGCGCGATGGTACATACACGCCCGCACACATATACACCGCCCGTCTCCGCCGTCTTTCCTCTCCCGAGAACGGAATTAACTCCGCTATTATTTAGGGGGCGTTCGACAGGCTAACGTACGTGATCTATGAAAAAAGCGAGAACCCGTTTGCTCGCGAAAATCGCCTCGCCTCGGGGATCGGATATAGATCGGGCGACGGGTTAAGTGAAAAATGAGTTCGCCACGGTGGGATAAGACGGGAAAGGCAGGGGGATGTGGGCTAAATGAAAAATGAAACAAAGCCAAATTGGCTCGTCCCGAAAATCCGTACGAGCATGCGTAAGAAACGAAACGCCAGAGGATTCGTTTCTAAGAGCTATGCCGCGCCCCGTCGAAGATCTACCTCGCTCTTACCTCTCTCTCTCTCTCTCTCTCTCCCACACTTTCTCTCTTTTGTCCGGTCTGGGAGACGAAGTCCAAGACAAGTTCGTATCCAGACACGAGCAGTACGGGACGGAGCACGGGCTCGATGTGTATCTCTGTGTTCCTTTTCTCGAGAAGCTCTGATTATCCAGAAAGTCATAATCGCGTTAGCGCGCAGCTAAGGGCCGCGTCACTGCCGTCTGAAAATTAATAGACGGTCGCGCTTTCAAGGATGTATCTGCTCTCCTTGAGAGGAGGAAAAGTGACGGGAGGATCAGGCCAATCTACTTCTTGAGGATACATTTCATAAAGAGGCAGCTATGTTCATGAAGGGCTCTATAATTACCATGAGCTCGCTGAGAGCCAGCGGAAGTCGCTACCGGGAGAATTTGATTTCCCTTAACGATCCCTTTCCTGAAGGCGCGAGAAGAGATTTTTATCCCGAGTAAGGTAAGCGAATGAGTCGTTCGCCCAGCGCTCAATCGTACAGTCGATCCGAAAGCGATATTAGACGTAGCGATTGCGGAGGTCGATACTGTGGCAATCGTGACGTCACTCGACTCTCTCTATTCCGCACGAGAGTTCCAATTTTCAGCGATCTCCAATTTTCATTCGCGAAAATGAATTAGGTCTTTGACGGAACGTCGCTTTCTTTTTTTTTTTCGTATATTTAATTTTCGCTCGCGCTCGTACGCGAGATTGCTCTCGCGCGATCTCGGGGGAGAACATAAATAGGTACATCGCGATGGGGAAAGGATTAAATAGCTCTCAATTTTACCCATCGATTATTTCACGATCGGAGACTTCGGCAAATTATAACAGCTTTACGCTGATAATTACGAAATAACGGTGAATTTGTGTGACTGCGTCGTACTCATAAATATCTGATAAACCATACGAATTCGGTTATTAATAATCTCTCTCGAGTGCGCTGATGGTCGAATCGGCCGATTATCCTGGCATTCTGTAATTAATAAGTAATAGCTATTTGTAGTTTCACCTGTCCGTTCCACCTGTTACAGTGAACGACAATTCGGTGAATCAGTATGCGTATGCTGTTATTGCAGAAAATACTCTTTCGCTGTGTCGTTCCGTATCTGTGCCGTCGGGTCTATGTTATTACGTACGATGCCTCACATTTTTGCAAGTTCTCAAATACTTTATTATATATACACAGCGTACAGCAGAGAGCCCAGGAGAGTAGGAGAGCAAAGATTATTAAGTCTGAAAAATACGGAACGCGCGGTAGACGCGTGCCAGATCGAAACTATCGAAGATCTCGCGAATCTTCGGGTTCAAGAGGAGAGAGAACGCATTTGCTCAAGTTCAGTAACTGCTGCCGCTGTTGCCGTCGCGATTAGGCGGTTCGCACTGAGCGAGCGCGTACTATTGCATAATGAAACGCGACTAACTGGATATGCCACTGTGTTTTGCCCGCTAAATCCTTCCATGCGCTTTAACCGCCTATCATTTATACATCGTACGCGGATTCCCACGCTGCGTTCTGAAAGAGCCGCTCATAAAAGGACCCCGCACATGCGCATAGGACTTAATTAAGCTAAATTTTTTCCGCTCAAACGCACGCATAATTTGTCGATGGCCGATAAGAGGGCCATCGTTGAATCGATCTATATATAGAGTGCCGCAAGAATGTTACGCG